TATACCGACCAAGGTCTTGGGTGAGGTGAGTCTCAAGTTCAGCTGTAGTCATCTTCCAGGCCAAGGGTTCGTTCGTCTTGAGCAGCAGGCGGCGAACCTTCCTGGAGCTCACACGGCACCGACGTCGGCCCTTGAGGAGAAGCCGCCACAAGGTGATCCGATCCCGAATGGATTGGCCTTGCGGGGACCATTCCGCCCCACCAATCGACAACTTCCTGCAGTTCTGCTCCGCCAATCGTCGAACTGTGTAGGCATCGGCGTGTATCCGATGGAATCTGACCGATTGGGATTTGGTGATGCCGCCCTGCTGTCGGGCAACGTCGAATCCCAGGGTAGAAAGACGGCCGGGAATATTGTACCGCATGTAACCCTGCTCCGTCAATTGGACGTATCGTTGAACCACCCGTTTGTTATGCATCACCAGCCGGCGTGGAACATGGGTGGATTTTGTAGGTTTGTGTCCGCCGAGGAGACTGCGCAAGTCAAAGTCAATCCACAGGCCACGATGATTGGAGGCAACGTGTTCGTCAAAAGGGTAGTACCTGGCGGCCAGGATGGGCACGTCAGGCGTCGCAAAGATACGGTCAATCGGATACCCACGGAGGTTTCGCTGGTAAGTGGCCTGATGGGACCCTGGATGGTTGGACTGGATCGCCTCGATCAGTCCCACTTCGCTCATCCGAAAACAGAAAGACTTTGGGGAGTAGGAGGACAAGTCATCGTTGGCATCGATGCCCAAGATGATGGAACAACCGTCGTCGCGCCAGGTGTTGATTGCAGTGGAGAGGTCCTTGATGAAAGCTTCCCTGGGTTCAGCGTCGCGGTGGGTGCGGCTGAAATGGGCCTTGTGTTGGAACCACACGGTTTGATGCCCGTCGTTGGGTGGGTTTGGTCGGTAGGCAGAGATGACCACCAAGTCGCGCTGGCCAACGCCTTGTGTTCGGCCATGAAGTCGGATCCAAGCCCATCGCCCCAAGCTATCGTCGCCACTGGACCGGACTTGATGGGAGACTTCGTTGAAGGCAGAAGTAGAACAGCCCCCAAATTGGGTGGTCGAATGGGCAGTCCGTGGTTGATGGATGTTGTAGGCCACCGCTGAGTGGAAACCTTCGCCCTTCCAAGCCATAGTACTGGCGCGTTCACGCCATCGGTTGGTTGGTGTAATTGCTGGCCAGAATTTATTCAATTCAGCCAGAAGTAAAAAGTCCACACGTTCGCTTTGAATCCAGTGGTTCAGCTGTGCTTGTTTAGGGTCGTCCGACGCATCAGGAATAGTGTTAATATTCTGGAAGACGAGTCGGGCAGACCCCAGTGCACGCACAAGATGGTTGTCACCAAAACCATCTCCTGGAAGGAAGGAACTTAAGAGGGAATCAAGAGAGGTGTGTGGAGCCGCTCTTGACCGGTTGCTGTAGATAAACGATCCATGCCTGTTACGCCGCAACCAAGCGGCAGGCGATCTTTTGTTTATCATGGACCCGTCGTGGGGGTACTGATACCCCCACGACCGGTGTCCATAGGAGAGGACGCATTGGGTTGGTCCTCCCCAACTTCTCCGTCCGTTTCTTGAGCCGTCGCTGGTGAAGCAATGGTACGAGCCGAGGGACTGAGTAGTGTAGTAGTGCTGATGCGTGTTTGGCCCGGTGGACCGGTAGGAACGTCCACTGTAAGCATAGGAATGGGCCTAACGTCTGTAGCCAACTCTGACATAGCAGCAGCTGCCTCGTGGGCGGCCTTCATTGCCTCCAATTTGTCACGAACGGACTGTAGGTCCCGGTTCAAACTGTTCCTCTCGTCAGTGATAGTCTCGATGGTCTGAAGAGCGGCCTGGAGTTGTTCCAGTCTTTGAGGTAACCAATCACAGATAGGCCATCGTCCACGTCCCGAACATGTTTGGCGTGGATGTCGATGTGGAGGGTGCCCTCGAGAATCTCTACAGGGTCTTCCATGCAGAGAAGGAAGTCCATTGGGTCATGGACTTGATCACCCTGTTTGTCGGTAGGATTGTCAATACAGCGGGAGCGAAGTTCCGACGGGACCCATTCAATGTGAAGCTTGCGATTCTGGTAGGCAAGGTCGGTAGCTGACCAGTTCTTGATGACGCGGATGAAATGGAGGAACGACGACTCGCCAAGGTGAAACTGAAGGAAGGACGGTAGGTTGTCAAGCACGTTCATCGCGAGAGGAAGATAGCGCTGGCGAACCACCACAAAATAGCATCCATCTTTCTTGGCTGGTAAGATCATGACGAACAGAGGGCTTGGACTGTCGTTGGTGAGGTCCATCTGTGCTAGCTTGTCGATCAAGGCATCGTCGTCCTTGGGAGACTTGGGTGCAGTGAGGAGCGAGGTTGTCGTCTCCTCCACAGGCTTTGGAGTGGAGGCAACCAAAGACTTTTTGATGATTGTGGTCCACTCAAAGGTTGGGGGGCCATCATCATCATCGTCGTCACCGGACGACTCGCTATCACTCAGCACCTCTATGGCCTTGGCAGGGGGCTTCTTGGGTTTGGCGTCCTCCGCCTTCTTGGCCTGGGCGCCCGTGACAATGACGGCAATAAGGAATCGCAGGAGGGTGAGCTTCCCAAAGTTCTCAGTGACAGCAGAAGTCAGCATGCCCGGGAGTTCGATGGGAATCCGGTAGGTGGCAGTCAAAACCCGCGTCGCCCGAGTCCTTTCCCGCATGGCTTCGATCACGGACTGGAGCTGTGGGCACTGTTTGCCGAGGACCAATTCGTCCTTCGCCGCCTGCCAATCTCTGGTGTAATGGGTCGGTGCTTGGAAGGGAGCACAACTGGGCTTACGGATGTCCAAGTTCGCGGCCAAGATCAGGTCGGCCTCGCGAGCGAAGGATTTAGGGACGAAGACATGCCAGCACAGGAGGCCTCGCGAAGACCCAGTGAATTTGGCAGAGAAGAACCGTGGATTGTTGACCCATTCTTGCATGAGGCCAATGGGGTACTGGAAGTCGCAGAGACGCATCAAGTCTTTGCAGTACGGACCAATCGCCAATTCTTGGGGAAGCAACGGGAGGAAGCCAAGACGGACCATGTCGGAAACCTGGATAGGGGTCGGGAAGACGCCCGCCCGAGGCTCACTGGACAAGACAGAGCGAAGTTCTTGCATGAGGATGGGAGGGGCAGTGTCCATACCAAACCGCATGCGAGTCTTGCAGGTCTTCGACCCAGTCTTCCCAGGTTTGTTGAGGATGTACGGGTTGCCGAAGTTGGGGTCGAGGTAGATCTTCAGGTGGGCCCAATCCTTGGCCTTTTCGTCAAACTCCTTCAAGTTCCGGATCCACAGTTGTTGTCGGGTAAAGCGACCGTCAGCAAAGGGCAGGAGGACGACCGTGGAAGTGATCTCGCCCCAAATACCGGAAGCAAACTGATGGAAGGCATTGTAGGCGGTCTGGACTTGATTGAACTCGGACGAACCGACGCCCTGCCAATCAAAGACAATCGACACGTTGAAGATGGTAATGTGCCGGAAGGGGGAGGCATTCCAAGTGACAGCGAGAAGGCGCGTCAATCGTTCGTCAGTGGTGAGGGGTACCGTGGAAGCGGGGAGAGAGGCAGCAGCGTCCCTGTAGGTCGGGGCGCTATTGTGGTCCTCTGCTCCATGTTCCCCACTGGTACGAACACACGGTTGGCTGGCTTGCACGACGGCGTCAGTAGGAGCACTGGCTTCCTGTGTTCCGGTTGGGGTGCTGGCGATGACGTGGACGGCGTCAGACAGGATCACTTGTTGGCGAGGAGGAGTGGCATCAGAAGGTGGAGTTCGTTGGAAGGGTTGGGACCGACCCTTTGGTGCCGGGTCGGTTTGCATCGGGACAGCGGGAGACTGGCGCGAATCGTTGGCCTCCGCACCTTTTGGGTTCTCTGGAGTAGATGCAGGGCGCTTCTTAGACTTGGACTGAGCCTTGGATATTTTTGACTCTCTTGCTAGTCGCTCAAATTCCTCCACAATGGGAGGAAGGATGGCCGGGCCTGTCCAAGGATGAGCAAAGAATTCGGATGCCGCTAGCCACATCCAAGTCAACGGCTCGGCGCGTTGAACAATTAATGCTGGGTCGAACATGAGCGCGAATTCCCAAAAGCGAGGCGACTTTTTGTTAGTTTTAATAACGCGTTGGGCCGTAGCGAGATCAAACACAACCGTGGGGCACTGTGTCACAAGGCGAAGAAAGTACTCGCGAAGAGACCAGGAAGCTTTGTCATCGTTGGCGTCTTTGAGATCGCCAAGAGAAAACAGATTCTGCATGCTGGACCGAAGCTGGGGCATAGAACCACCAAGTGATGGGTCGTACACCTTCAAGCCAGACAGGATTAACGCAGCGATCTCGTCGTAAGAATGAGCATCGGCTTGGTCCGTACTGGCTTCAGCCCACCAGCCGGGACATTTGGATATTGCCTGACCAAAGTGTTCCGCGGTGCAAGAGGACCAGGTGATAAATGCTTGGTTCCCAAAAACCAAGCGGTCGTCCTTGCACTGCGCCGTCCTCGGCGGTTTTGGAAGGAGGGGTTTGCTTGCGTTGGCTCTTGGAAATCATGGTGTCAGGATTATCCTCGATGAAATCGGTCGACGAAGGAGGGGTAGAGTTCGATCGAGCTTTGGCCATGGAGCCATCCTGGCCTTGGGCAACGTCAGATGGGAAGAGCGAACGGCCTTTCATTGCGCCATCCTCGGCGGTTTTTGAAGGGTATCGCTTGCTGCGGCGCTGGGAAGTGGTGATGGCAGGGTTGTCTTTGGTAAGAGCAATCGACGATTGAGTGGTCGAATTTGATCGGGGTTTTTCCTCAAGACCTCCCTGACCTTGGTCAGCTACAGTCATGATCGAATTCGGGTCCTTCTCCGGCGGGTTGGTGATGCTATCCTTCATGTTGGCCTAAATTTAATTCCTGTTTCAACAACAACAACTATTTTCCTTTACGTACGAAACGCGTAGGACTGGTACAGTTTTGTTTTGGAGAAGCGTGTGGAAGAATATTTTCTACCTTTTAGTTTTTGATTTTTGATTTCTGAATTTTATGATCGCCGTGTTGGTGTAGACTTGTTGCAGAAGTCCAAAGGACGTCCCAAGTTGATGGGCTTGGATGTTGGCCTCCATATAGTCACCAGTTTTGGTCCTGTTGGCCATATGTCGGAGCAACATCTCAAGGTGCTTAAACACTTGACAACCAAACGGATGTGGAAGTCCAAGACC